GACAAAACAAATATGAAATATCAGAATAACTAAAACACCAAGCTTAAAAATAATCATTACACAGCAAGTTTTCAATTGTTGACTTGGTGGGAAACCTACTATAAATACTCATGTGCAAAGGTAAGACTCACACTCACAACATTCACATTATCAGCCTACAAAGTATAAAATTTAACTCCTAAAAAAATCACAATGCCTAGCATGCATATTTTGGGCAGTGAGGTAAGCCCCCTCGTATGCATAATTTCTCTACAGAAGTTGATAAAACTGTTAGAGATGTCTTCATTCCTATGTATTTTAGTTAAGTTAATGCATATATTCTATGGTGTTTAACAGTGGTAGTATGAATTTATTCTTATTGCTTTCATTTTTTGTTAGAAAATAATTTGTGTGGTTCAAAATCCATGAAGAATTAATCTTCCGCCATCCACGTTGCATGCTAGCTTAATCCCATTATCTTCCGCACGTGCTCTCACGTCATGCGGCAATGGTCTCCCTCATACACATTTATCTCCTTTAATTTAGTATAAATAGCTAGCTTAGGTTTGTAATTCATTGCATCAATCATTTGAATTCATCTTCATTTGTCTTTAGCTTTCCTTACGTACAAATATATATATTTCATTTGTTATTCTCTTTTGAGAATTTACATATAATATATATATATATATATATATATATATATATATATTATATTTTCCATTTTATATTAGATTCATTTGTTATTTATATAATTTTCTTCATTTACATATTTTCTCTATTATTCAACTTCTATAATTCTCAATTTTTGATTCTTCGCTTCCGCATTATTCCGCTATATTCCTAACAAGTGGTATCAGAGCGGTTTAATTGAGAGTTATTTTCAAAGATGTCGACTGTCACTAAGTTCGATATCGAGAAGTTCGACGGGAAAATTAGCTTTTCTATCTGGAAGGTTCAGATGGCAGCCGTTCTAACTCAGAACGGTTTGAAGAAAGCGCTAGCTGGGAAGAAGAAGAAACCGGCTACAATGACAGATGAAGATTGGGAAGATTTGGATGACAAGGCACGTTCAACCATTCTTTTGTGCTTGTCTAAAGAGGTTCTACGTGAGGTAGTAAGTGAGACGACTGCGTCAGATTTATGATCCAAGTTGGATACGCTTTACATGGCCAAAACTCTGGCGAACACGCTACGCCTGAAGGAGCATCTGTACACAGTCCGTAGGACGGAAGGTACTTCTATTAAATCTCACTTTGATGAATTCAATTCTATTTTATTGGACTTGGAAAATATTGATGTCGTAATTGACGATGAGGATCGTGCTGTTTTATTGCTTGTCTCTCTCCCTAAATCATACAAGCATTTCAAAGAAATTATGATGTATGGTAATAGTAGTGATACCCTTACTTTCGACAATGTTAAGTCAAACCTGTTGTCCAAAGAAAAGTTTGACTTTGAAATTAAGTCTGAGGACAAAGGTGAAGGCTTGACTGTAAGGGGCCGTTCACTTGAATCAAGAAGTAGCAATAAAAATTATAGATCCAAGTCCAAAGGACGTAAGTCCAACAAATCCTGCAAGTACTGCAATAAGCATGGTCATGATGTGACTGAATGCTTCAAGTTGAAAAACAAGCAAGATAGAGAAAAGAAGTTCGTTGAAGCTAGTGTTGTTGAAAGTAATTCAGAAGGTGATGTTATGTTATCTGTTGGCTCCGGTTGCAAACGGAGTGAAACCGAATGGATTCTGGACTCTGGTTGTACATTCCACATGTGTCCTCACAAAGACTGGTTCGTTTCTTTGGAACCGGTTGATGGTGAATTTGTCTTGTTGGGTAATGATACCCAATGCAAGGTTAGTGAAATTGGAAGTGTTCAGATTAAAACTCATGATAATGTTATCAGGACTCTTACCAATGTTCGGTATATTCTTGATTTGAAACGCAATCTGATATCATTGGGCACCTTGGAATCTCTGGGGTGCAAGTACACAGCTGAAGGTGGAGTTATGAAGGTCATAAAAGGTTCTCTTATTCTCATGAAAGCTTCTCGTTCTGGAAGCTTGTACATCTTGCATGGCAGTACCGTGACAGGTTCAGTAGCAGTATCCTCATCGATGTCCGATGCGGATCTCACTCAATTATGACATATGCGTCTGGGGCATATGAGTGAGAAAGACATGCATATCCTGAGCAAGAAAGACCTCCTTGGTGGTTCAGGTACGGGTAAATTACAATTTTGTGAGCATTGTGTTTTTGGGAAACAAAAGAGGGTTAGTTTCTCTACTACAACACACCGTACCAAAGATGTATTGGAATACATACATTCCGATTTATGGGGACCAACTAAATTCCATTCTATGGGAGGTTGTAGATATTTTATGTCTATTATTGATGACTTTTCTCGTAAAGTGTGGGTCTATTTCCTGAAACATAAAAATCAGGCATTTTCTATTTTCAGGAAGTGGAAAATACTTGTTGAGACTCAGACAGGTAAAAAAATCAAGAAGCTCAAGACAGACAATGGCTTGGAGTTCTGTGAGTCAGATTTCAATGACTTTTGTGCGGCAAATGAAATCGTTAGGCACAAGACCTTGCCTGGTAAACCCCAGCAGAATGGTGTTGCCGAACGTTTGAACAGGACTCTATTGGAAAGAGCTCGTTGTATGCTCTCTAATGCTGGGTTATGGAAACGACGTGATTTTGGGCCGAGGCCGTTTCTATTGCTTGCTATTTGGTAAATAAATCTCCACATTCATCCCTTGATTTCAAAATTTCATAAGAAGTTTGGTCAGGTAATCCTGTTGACTACTCTATCTTAAGAGTTTTTGGATGTCCTGCTTATGCTCATTCCAGTACGGGTAAATTAAACCCGAGAGCTGTCAAATGCATTGTCCTTGGTTATGCTTCTGAGTCAAAAGGGTATCGTCTATGGTCTCCTGATTCTCAGAAAAGTATTCTGAGTCGAGATATCACTTTTGACGAAAATGCACTACTTTCTTCTGAAAAAGTTCTCAGTACAAATGAGACGCAAAGTATTAGTGAGAAGGTGGAGTTTGAGTTCAGGCCTATTGACAGTATTACTACCACTAATGGTAATACTAAAGATGATGCATCTACTAGCACCGCACCTCTCATCGAGCCACAGCGAGAGTATTCCATTGCTATGGATCGGCCTAGGAGGACAATCAAAAAACCTGCTAGGTATGCTAGTGATGATGAAACCAACATGGTTGCTTATGCTCTTTCAGTCGCATAGGAGGTTGATGGTGATCCATCCTGCTATTCTGAAGCTTTTCCTATTGCTAAATTTGAGCAGTGCTTGAGTTTAGTCGACTGTTCCAGTTGTTAATTCCACAATGAATTTGATCCAAGGTGGAGATTGTTAGAAAATAATTTGTGTGGTTCAAAATTCATGAAGAATTAATCTTCTGCCATCCACGTTGCATGCTAGCTTAATCCCATTATCCTCTGCACGTGGTCCCACGTCATGCGGCAATGGTCTCCCTCATGCACATTTATCTCCTTTAATTTAGTATAAATAGCTAGCTTAGGTTTGTAATTCATTGCATCAATCATTTGAATTCATCTTCATTTGTCTTTAGCTTTCCTTACGTACAAATATATATATTTCATTTGTTATTCTCTTTTGAGAATTTATATATATATATATATATATATATATATATATATATATATAGAGGCTAATTTTCAGGTGCACTCCATTCTTAAAGTGTGAACGTGTGCACTCATCCGGTACGTTAATTTCGTGCATCCAACTGTCCTAAATAAACGTACATCCTCTTACGACGCATCGGCACACATGTTGCTCGCGGGGCAGTTGCGGTAATTCCTTCTATATTTAAAATTGCATTGGACTTGAATACTACTCCTTACACTGGATTCCTTGTTTTAACATACCTATTCTCCCTGACTCCAACCGATGATGACGATGGTTACGCACGGTGAAGAACTTCCGGCAGCGGACGCGGCAGAGCATCCGGCTACAGGTTCCGTTCCCCGTCTCCCCACTTTTTTTTCGTTGGTTTTTTTTTTTTTTTGGTTGTTGTGCCGCCATATTGATTACAGACTCATTGGATGCATAAATTTCCTTCATAATTATTGATTTTTTCTTGAATCAGTAACCCTTTTTCTCCCCTTGTTTAATACTGTACGTGTGTTTTTAGTTATTAATACTAGTAACCAATTCCGTGTGTGGTGCAGTGAAATAAGTGATAACATTCAAACCAGTTGTAATGCAAAACCTTTATGCATTGTTTTTATAACATTCATGTACATCATTAGTAATCATAAACCATAATTTTTGTGCTCTTAGGGAAACATTACTTACTGTATACGAAAGAAACCTCATTGTGAAACATATTTTAAGATGACGAACCAAAAAAACCATAGAAGAGGTACTTGCACTTTGATCTCCTGAAGCTTTAACTATGTTGTTGTATTCCTACAGTGCACTCCGATGCTTGATACTCCTTAATACATGCTCAACCTTGAATATATATTGGCTAACAATGTTCTCGTGCACCCACTGCAGTGTTACTTGCCGAGGATTTAGGTATTGGGGATGAAACGCACAGCACAACGAGATTTTAAACTGCGATTAAACAATACTGGAAGCCAAATGTGGACGCTGGCCTGGTGCCAACAGTCGGTCAGCGTTTTACCTCCCTAGACGAAGGAATCCAATTCTACAAAACCTACGGACGAGTAGGTGGATTTGACATCCGGCATAGTTCTATTAAGAGGGATCGTGGTGGTGAAATTATTTCCCGTCATTTAGTATGTAACAGACAAGGGGCCAAACGAGGTGGAAGTAGCAAACCCATAATAAAACTAAATATCGGCAATAGTAGCAACAAGAAACGACGGAGACGGACCTCTAACAGAGTGGGGTGCCGCGCAAAGCTTGGATTTAAGAAAGAGAGTAATGGGGAGTTTACGGTGTCTACATTTGTTGAGGAACACAACCATAGTATGTGCTCCGAGGGTGCTAAATTATTTATGCGGGGCAACCGGAAGCTTAGTGTGGCCCAACAAGCATTTCTAGCAAATTGCATTAAGGCTAACATTGGTTCTTCCACCGGGTTTAGGTTATGTAAGGAGGTGGCCGGTTCGTATGAGAATGTTGGTGCAACGGACATGGAGTTCCATAATTTTAAACGGGACTTGCAATCGTATGTTGATGTGGTTGACGGTGAGATGATTATCGAAAGGTTCAAAACAAAGCGTGAAGTCTGCGACAGGTTCTTTTTCGATTACCACCTCGATGAAGAAAATCGGCTTGCACGACTCTTTTGGGCGGACCCTATTGGTAGGGGGAGTTTTTCTTGTTACGGTGATGTGATCTCGTTCGACGCCACGTATAGCACGAACAGGTATGTAGTTACTTTCATTAAAGGCTGTAGTAACCGATCTCCCCTTTTGTTATGTGTTTTTTTTTTTTTTTTGGAATTATGTCCTCGGGTGTAGACATGGCATACATATAAGGTTTATGTGAATAGGTTGCTGGTGCCTAATCCAAAAAATAAAAAATAAAAGTTACAGTTCACATGTTTGATGCCATTTAACAAAATTGTTTGAAGATTCATACTGTTCACTAACTGATTAATAAGGGGAAAAGCCAACATTATAATAACGGTAATGCACAGCAATCAAATTCACTATTAGTTGGTAGTACTTTTTTTTCGATATCTTAACTATTAATTGTTCTTATGTGATGCAGATATAGTTTGGTGTTTGTGCTATTTACTGGAGTGGACAACCACAAGCGCTGCATTACTTTCGCCGCCGGGTTAATCACTAAAGAAGATGTGGAATCGTACAGTTGGCTGCTAGAGAGATTCATTGGTGCAATGGGGAAGCCCCCTTTATGTGCTGTCACCGATCAGGACCCAGCTATGAAGATTGCTATGGACCAAGTTATACCTGAGTGTCGCCACCGTTATTGTATGTGGCACATTATGACAAAGGTTAGTGAAAAAGTCGGGCCTGAGTTAGCAAAGAATGAGGTGTTCCGCAAGAGTTTGAATGATATTGTTTGGAATGAAAGGATCTCCAGCAGTGATTTCGAAGTGCAATGGCAGCTGCTAATGGAAGAATGCAACTTGTCTGAGCACCGTTGGTTTCGTAAGTTGTTTGCAGAACGAGAGCATTGGATCCCTGCGTTTTTCTCTGATTTGCCAATGAGTGGGTTGGTATGCACCACATCCCGGTCTGAGGCACAGAACAGCGTTTATGGGAAGTTCACCCGCCCCCATTCTAGTTTGGTTCAGTTTTACATTTAGTTCGAGAGTGTCCTTGAGACTCAGCGCCACAAGCAAGCTAAATTAGATGCCCAGTGCGAGGGGTACTTGCCCGAGTTTAAAACCCCTTTGGCGTTAGAGCGGGACATCGCAAAATTGTTTACACTCGCTATTTTCTATGATATGCAACCAGAGATTGATGCTGCCTGTTTCTATTGCGAAGTTGTAGATATCCGTAAGGATGGTACGGACATTTATTATGACATTACGGGTGATTCCACCACCACGTACACTGTACACTACAAGCCAGATGGGTGTATTGCTTTTTGCAGTTGCAAGATGTTCCAACGAATGGGGTTGATTTGCCGGCATATGTTCTTGGTGTTCAAAGGAGCACATCTAGAGCAGTTACCATCCCAGTACATCATGGATCGTTGGCGCAAACACCTGAGTTGCGGTGCTTGTCGAGGGCGACATCCCAACGAACACGTCCCACAAACAAGAGCAACAGAAGTATGGTCTGAGATCAACACGTGTGTAGGGCTGGTGGGTGAGAGCACGGCGCGTCAAGCCCGAATGGTGCAGGTATTGAAAGAATTGAGCAAGGAATTTGCATGCGACGGTACAAACACCGGCACCGCAAAGGGTAACAGTGCTGCGATCGCGGCATTATGTGGGGTACAGCCACCGCAATCAATAACCATTAAACCCCCGGCCCAAGCTAAGAACAAAGGTAGTGGGAAGCGTCTTAAAAGCAACCGCGAGATAGCCATAGAGAACAGTGCTAAAGTTGGCCGAAAGTGTGGGTTGTGCGGTGAGTATGCCTGTCATAATGCTCGTAGTTGTCCTTCCAGGTGCAATATGGTTTAGTTAGTCATAACCCATGGTACCGAACACCGAACATGCTTGTTTTATTTTAGTTTAATTAGCTTGATAGCTGGAATGCACGAAGCAGGCTGTGTGTTTTTAGTTTAGTTTAATTCGTTTGCTAGCAGACTGTATGTTTTTATTTTATTTTAATTGGTTTATAACAATTTTCATTTGGTTTAGTTAGTCATAACACATGTCCCTGTTGCTTTGGAACTTTTATTATTTAAGAGCCCGTTAAATGCAGATTGCACGCCTATAGCTCAAAAGCTTTTTAATTATGTAACTAGCCTAAACAAAGGTTGCTTATTGCTAATAGCTATCACTGGTAAAGCATATATGTTTATCGTGTTTGGATGTGCATTGCCGAGCACTGAGTAGGCATCCTTCCCTTCATATTCTACAATCTGCCATGATAAAATGGATATCCATAACCCTTACCTGAACACTTCAGAGTTTGCATGAAGTGCAGAACATTACACCCCAAATTAAGATATACTAAGACTCACTTTAAGCACGACCATTCTGAGCGCAACTAGTAGAAGTTATTTCTAGGACTTAGAGCAACCCCATACTTTCAATTAATGAGCAATTAATCATTGCACAACCCAAAATTTATGCTGCAACCGAAAGATGAAACAAAAAGCAAATGATTCACATCCTTATTGCACTCAAATAGTAAGATAAATAACCCCTACATACGACTAAACCGTAGGTGTCCGTAACGAAATGCACCCGTTTTCCAATAAAACACTGTACTAGCTAATGAACCAATTTAGCATTAAAAACTATACTAACTAATGTCGCCCTAGTCGAAGTACCGTCTGTTTGTTTCTGCACTGTTAGCCGCACTCAATACTAGAGTTGTGCCAACCTCTGGATATCATATTCGCCGACACGAGAGGATATATTCTCCATGTGTTCATTGACCTCACAAAAAAGTATGTTGTGCATGAAACGCTTCCGTAGATCTAGAAGTTGTTGGCTATTTCCTCGACGCAATCCACAATCCCAGTTTGCGCACTTTTGACCAGTGTATGATTCCATGTGCCGCATTGTAAACACCGCAGAGTCGAGGGTAGATGTAGTGTCTCTGCACGGCATCTGCATCCTTTTCGGTTTCATGCTTTCTAGCCGGAATGCACGAAGCGTTTGTTGTTTGCTATCTAAGTACGTGCTTAGTAGGTCAATCTGCCCAAAAACAATATGGATAATATCAAAATCCAAGCACTTAGTAGGTTCATTATATTCCATCATTTTGGAAAATTCATTTGGTTAGTCACGTACCAACTCTTGCGGTGCTCCGTCATACAACTCTTTGTTTGTTTTGTTGATGGACGAGCTGTCGATAATATAAAACCTAGAGTGTTTGAAACTGATGCTCATCATGTAGAATCGGCCCCCGTGCATTATTGGGAAAATAAACTAGACAACCACACCATGACTGCGTTAGTTATTGGTTTTTCCATGATATACAACGTTCTGTAAAATTATTTAAAAGTTTTCGAATGGTTACCATATCTATAGACGCCGTCCCTACATGGTTTGTAGTCTTGAGTTCCTCATCTAGTCGCCTTGTAAACCACATAACCCTCTCATCTTGGCTGGAGGAAATGGACACGACAGTGCCAATCTGCAAAGAGATATGTTAAACATCGGTAGTTTATGTAGGTCGTGCGATAGGGTTGAAGATATTCACCGTGGTACTAGTCGAGAAAAAGATGCGGGAGGGTTCCTCCCCCCCCCCCCCCCCCTTCGTTTTCTCCCTGAGATTGAGCACGCTGCACCATGCATCCACTACTGTCTTTGCCACGTTAGTCCTTTCCCTCAACGTTTTGAAATCTGACCATCTTGCTTTCCGCTTGCTATGTTGGAACAGCACCTCATTGCTACAAAGATAACCCAAAATGTTAGTTTCAAAAGAAATGAATGAGTGGTTCCAATGATAGAAAATTAGCTTATATAGAAAATTAGCTCATAGTTATCAGTTGGGCAGTCTGGTAGATTAAAATGTTGAGCAGGCTTCATATGCACTACGCTGCAGTACCGGGGAAACTCACGGTTGAAGGGTTAAAAGGTTTGAAAATGGAGCAGATAATAATATACATGAAAATGTGGAATGGGCATTTTGGTTCCATTAGAATGGTTCTGGCTTTTGTTTCTTTTATTTAGTGTTAAATTAGCTATCTAAGCTACCTACCTTTCCCTCTCATAATGGTATTTAAATTACATGCATGCAATGCACTGCACTTTTACTCCAACAACCCCACTTACCAGTCATAATGCGGGCAGCCAAACACCCACACCCAGACGGCATATATGTGTGGAAGAGGAATGGTAGGGTAACCGTTGGTGGTGTTAATAAACATGCCAAGCGGATATTCTCCCTGGACAATTGGACCCCTCCCTTTGCGTTCTGCCACATCCCGCCTCCCCAGGCCCACACATTGGGGGGATGGCTGCAACCCATGTCCCATTTGCTGCATCTGGAGATGTACCTAGCACCAGATTTCGTCATACACATAAGTTAACATAATAGCGCACGACAATGAGGAAGTTTAGACACAAACCTGATGAGACGGTGTGCCAACACCCGGCGGTAGCGCCCTATTCTTTTCCAGATTCTGTGTAGCCAACTCCTGTGTCATCCCTAGGCTAAAACTAGGGGCATCGACCCCCCCGATAGACTTCATCGCCTCCAACTCCAATCGGTCCAACTCCTTGAAGAATTCAGGGTCATGCCACATGGCTTCGTCGTTGTGAACTGGCGACAAGGCGGGGGGTTGAGGTATCTCTCTAGGCTTAGGATTCTGAATTATTCCGTGCAACAAATCCATTGCAGCAACAACCCGATCAAAATCGTAGTGGTCATGGGCTAGATTGCGGTGGTGCTGTACCATATCAACAACTCGTGAAGCAATGGAGAGCAGGTCTCCGGTAATGGTTGCAAACTGTTCGTCAAATCCCTATAGCAAACGTGACCTTAATCTATCAAGTAAATGTTTGACAACATAAAATACAACTTGATGGGAAGAATATTCCTGTCATACCGTGATGTGTGCCACCGGGGGCTCGGCAGGGGGCACCGAGTGCATACCGTTGTTCTGTTGCCCTGGTGGCTGGACTACCCATGGCCTTGTCCTGGCTGATCCCATGGTCGTTGGAAAGCCGGATGCACGCAGAGGTGCTACCACCTGGCCGTTGCCAAACGCCCCTGCACCAACCTCCCGGCACTCCCGTGCTTTTATTTGCTCCGTGGTCCACCCGTCCAACACTGGGATTGTCCTCGGCACATCCCGTGCAGTAACCACCACCCTATCGACATACAAGAGCTGCACAAAGAAGATTACCCCACACATTAGCAAATGATAATTAACAAGTAAATTTTCATCATACATCATAACACAAAATCAAACTTACAGTTGGAAAGAGCAATGGTCCCGTGAATTTGCGAGAGGTGTTTTCAGACCAACTAGCATGGGTGCTACCCAACGAGTGCAAAAGATACCCGCACCAATCTAGCTCCTTGATCTTGGTTACGTCGCTAAACATGTGCATAATCTTCTGGTTTACATACCCATTGGGGGTGCTTGAAATAAGGGTGCTTAAAGCGACGACACTAAAATGTCGTTTAAACCAAACCCCACCATCTTTGAGACCTAGAAGCAATGTGCTCAACGCCTTGATTGTGACCCTCCCTCTTTGTTGCTTCACCTCGGTCCTCCATTGGTCCAGGTCAGGACTGACAACTTGCGGATCACGCTCCGTGATCGGTATCGTACCATTTGGAAGTCCCAATATAGCTACAACGTCCTCCTTGGTAATTTTGATGTATCTCCCATTGCCCAAGTCCAATTCCATTTCCGAAGGGTTAAAACAAGAGATCAACCAATAGCCAAGGCGAAGTGGTAACTCCTTGATTTGCAACCCCAATAGGCTCCCCATTCCAATGCTGATGACATCCTGCCTCTGCCGTGGTGTTAGCGACCCGACAACCCGCACGAGTTCCTTAGGCATCCCCCGCGTGTTGATTTGGGGAAATTGGCAATCCGCGTGCGTAGGCTCAGCACGTGGTGATCCTTCGTACTCCACATCCTCGAGGACCCGTGGTGGGGTGTAGAAGTCCTCACTAGACCCACTTCCGTCCTCACCTTGTGCATCCCGTCCTGAGACAAACCAAAGAAACAAACGCAGGGAGAAGCTTAAATCATGTGATGTTATTACTTGTATTATTTGTACCCCATTAGAGAATGCAGGTAAACCCAAGTCTGTAATGTTCAGATGCTTGTTTAGTTTTCCCATTTAATTGATTCCAGTGCCACAATGCTCTCCCTCCTTACTCTATGATATTTAAACCACACCCTCCTTATTGTCTAATATCTGATTGCATGTGAATATTCATTCAAGAAAGTCGGTAACAAAAAATGGAAGAGTATAATAATGGGTTAACTGTTGGAATGGAACATTACATGATGATTATATAGCTTGCACTATCTTAAATGGACAGATAATGCCATAGCACATAACTCAAGCATTAAATACTATTATATTGCCACATATGCATAGCCAGATCTCAGCTAAAGATGGCCAATAATTGATTAAACAAGAAAAATGAAACAAGCAACCTGCACCAGAGTGCTAACATGGAAACACACACTGCAGTTTGCATTGTCTTAAATGATTTATTGTGATGTTAACTCAATCTATCAATTAAACCAACTTCCTTAAATGAATATTCACATAACTCAAGCATTAAATACTATTGCTAAATATGAATAACCAGATCTCAGCACGAGACTTTGATATAACATTGCAGAGCAATCTTGTCATATTTTAGTGATGGCCATAAACTGGTTCTCTGAAGGCAACAACATAGTAACAGCTTCAAGTGATCAAAGTGCGAGTACCTCCAACCCCAACTAACTTGACCACGCTAACCCCACAATTCCAATGAAGGAGCTCAATTCCCCACCAACACTTCTGCACAAACAACCTCCCACGCA